AAGGGAATTTGTCACTACACCCAAAAGGGAATGTGCGACGCAGCAAAGTGAGCCCATGTTTCCGCAAGTCGACCCACCCCGAAAAACGGGGGTGCCCCCCATGTCCCATGGAAAATCCGCTGGAAATGCGCCCCCAAATGGAAGCCCCTTTTGCTCCCAACCCCCCCCTTTCCCAGCACCGAACCATTCTCAACCCCCCCCGAAATGGAAGCCCCTTTCGCTCCCCACCGAGCGAGGCGCTGCCGGATCTCTACATCATCGTCAAGGAGCTCTTTCGGCGGTTTTACCTCCTCGGCAAAGGCCGGTCGGGGGATTTTGCGATGGGGGAATGACGAGTCCCGAGTCCGGGGCGTTGGGAAGGAACCGCTTTGGGGATTCCCTTAAAGGAAGGGGACCGAAGGACGAGTCCGGGGTGTTGGGGTTGGGAATGAGGGAAGGAACCGTCTGGGCATTTCCTGAAAGGATAGCTTATGGGCGTCATTCCCTCATTTCCTCAGCCAGAAATGGGCTTTCCCGGTGTCAAAAACGCCCATGGTTTCTCTGCTAAACTAGTGAGGCAGGGGTCACTGGATTTGCCACTTGTCGGAAGTTCCAAAACTAAAATGGAGGAAACCCTGTGAGCATTCAGGGCAATTCTACAAAGCAGCTGAAGATGTCAATCTGCGGAAAGGCCACAGCTTTGAGCTTCGAACAAAATGGCACGCGCCGAAAGCGTGGAAACAGACTCGCGGGAGATATACGGATGTAGGCAGGTGCGTATGATGCGATGGCACGCATTACATGGCATGGGATGGCATGGGAGGGGATGAGACGGACGGTATGGAACGCAATCTATGCACAATGTATCTACAACGTTTGTAGGGGGGATCGATTGCCCTCCAAAAATCGGAAGAAAGACTCAGCTACCATACTGGTGGATGTCAGAATTCGATCTGAGTTATTTCGCCGAACCGTCGCATACTCAAGCCATTGCCATTCTCCGTTACATTGACGCTACGATTCGATTCTTGACTCCACATAGAACTTCGCCTGGGCTGCAAAGTAGTAGCTCAAGGCTTTGTCGCGCAGGCTTTGAGGAAGATTCAAGGGGACGCTGAGTTTGGGTGCTTCAGATGCGGAAACCGGTTTGGGGTAATTACCATGTTCAGGAGTTCCGAACCCCGAAGATCATGTGCAAGAGCCAAAGGCTTTGGGCCATTGGTTTGGGGTAGACCCATTTTCAGCGAAAGGTTTCGGAAATCAGATATCAACTCCCGTGATCACTGGAGTTCGCTGGAGTTTGACTCGCTGGTGCTCAGGCTGGCCCTACAATGTAACAATCCTGCTGGTCGTTTCCTTTGAGAGAATCCATCCCTTCCGGTTTGTTCCCACCACCCGGACGGTCCTTCCCTGAGCACTTGCACCTGGCACTCCAGAGTCTCAGCGCAGGTATCAGCGTCCTGTTGGTTGTCTTCGGCACATTGCTCTTGGTGCACGACGCAGCTTGATCGCACTTACGATGCAGTGGCTCCAGCTTGCTGGATTTGGCGCGATTGTCGTTTGCCTGCTTGTGTGTTGCATGTGTGTTGTGCTGCTTGAACTCTGGCTGCCGGTTGCTGATTGCTACATAACGATCACGCCATTCTGCTGGATTTTGGTTTCTTGCGGAGCAGGTTGCTACAGTCTTTTGAGCTGGCTTTTGTTTGTTACTTCTGGCCACTCGTAGTTGCTTGTCATGCTGACGGTCTGAGGTTTTTGGAGGGCTGCTTGCTTGTTTGCTTTTGGGGAACCCCCCAAAAGAACCCGCTTCCCTGACTGTTGGAACGAAGGTTCCGAGGGTTTGAGCAGACCCGGAAGCTTGGCGGTTCCCATTTGTTCTGTCGGGCCTCCCTTTGAAGAATCACCAAAGCCAGGGGTACGGCGCCTTTAAAAACAAAAAAGAACCTGCGAACGCCCCCCCCCCCCACCCAACGTCAGGAGGTGGCGGTTTCCGACACCACGGAAGTGCTCATCATGCTCAGCATCGTGTTGATCTCCATGGCGATGTCTCTGATCATGGAGCTAGGCCGGTGGTCCCCGCAAAAAATGGAAAGTCGCCTTCCTGAACCCCCCGATTGGTGGGCACGGTGGGCCCCCAAAATGGAAGGTAGCCTTCCTGAAACCCCGATCCTCCCGATCGTCCCCGAGCGTCCCTGATTGTCGCTGTTTGTGATTGGAGGGATAGTGTCAAAAAATCGGGAGCCCAAAAATGGTGGAGTGTTCCTTTTGTTTTCCCTTTTAATCAATCTGAAATTGAAACCCTCAAGAAAGAAGCTACACTGAGTGATGGGAGGGCTCGTCAAATCTTCCTTTACTCGAGGGAGTCTCCGTGCCCGGGGGAGCTCACGGAAAACTCACCGTGGCTGTGCTGGGTTCCGACACCCGACCAAAGACACCGATCCGGGTTTCGGTATACTTTCCTCCCTCATGTTGCAATTTTCCTGCAAAACATGCTGTATCTTCCCTGTTCTTGGCATGTTGTTTGGTTTTTTGGTTCTGTTCATTTTTACTGGGGGTCTGCAAGTTTTTCGCTACCATACCAAGAGTAGAGATGGTATGGTTCTGGGCAGGTATCCTCGCATGCGATGGTTCGGTGTTTGCCCCTTAACCCCGCCATTTGGACTCAGGACCCCAACGCGGGGTTCAATCCCCGAAAAGCGATTCCTCGAAGACATGTGTTTCTCCAAGTTCCACGTTCATCTGCCGTTGAGCGGACAGGACTTTTGGCTTGCAAATTGTAGAAGCTTTGAATCCACCAGGTACGTTGGCGCCATACCACGCTCGGAGCACATGGGTGTGCCAATTCTGATTGAGGTTGCCCCTGTCGGGTTTCAGAGGGACATCCATTTATACTATAGGTTGAGGAATTGTGCAACAGAATCTGAACATGCACATATATATATATATATAGTCCTTTCACGGACCCAGGTTGTGCGAGTTTGAGCTTCTTTTTTTTTCCCCAGTGGTTTTTCGCCCATGCCAAGTCTTGTGGCTGAGAACAACAATTTCTCGGAGCCACTCACGGGCTTATGGAGAAATTGGGATGCCACGGTTGTGCTCCGATTCCAATTCCAGCGACCATGTCTAGCGACAGAATCCATTTGGCCGCTCTTAGCCAGGGATCCGCACGAAACAGGTCGAGCATGTTTTTTTCACCTCCGACAGCCACCTGTTCAGTAAAGCGTCCCTTGTTTGATTCCCCCCGAAATATTTTTTTCAACAAACAGGTTTGATCCCTGGTTGGATCCCTTCCTAAACCGGTTTGATCCCCCGGGTATGGTCACTTCGTTTATGGCCAGAGATCCCCTAGCCATTTTCTGAGGATATGAACAGACGGGTAGGCACCTGAGGTCCTGGTCATTGGGGGGGGGGTCTGATTCTCACCAGTGCCGTCTACAAGGCCCAAGCCCCAACCAGCGAATAATTATCCCAAAGACGGCTTCCTTTTTCCTTGGATGGTAGGATTTTAACACTTGAACTTCTTGCCAAAGAAGGGGGTTTGTTGCTTTCCTTTGAACCACTAAAGTTAAACACTTTCAGCAGGGAAGGGGTTTTCCTTTAAACCACCAAAGTTAAAAACTGTCGGCCGGGGTTTGCAGATTTCGCACCCGAGCTTGAAAGACGGGCACTCAAGGCAACCGCCGCGGGGAGTCCTATGACTCCGAACCATCGCACGAGTCACCCGACCGCATTGGGAAGAGCCATGCTGCTTTAAAGACAGTTTTAGGACACCAATTGCTCCAAAGATTGAGTCGGAGGCTCGGGTTACCTTGGTGGCTCCCGAAGGCCATCCGGTTCAACTTGGCCTTTTTTAGCTTTTTGGTGTTTAGTGGTGGGTTTTCCGTGTTTGGCCCACTAGAAGTTAGTCACTTTTTGCGGGGGATCCGAAAACGGACAGCCTAGTACGTTTTTCTTTCTTCTTTTTTTCTTGCGGGGGTAGCTGAGACCATTCTTTCCGATCAAAAAAGCGCTGGTTTTGAAAAGAACGATGGTCGAACAGAATGCACGAGGAATCAACCGCTGGAGTTTGACAGTTTTGAGACACCTTTTGACCAAACGAATGTGGCTCAAAGTGAAGCAGCTGGCGATACACAGGTTTTAGCTGGCTAATTCTTCCATTTAGCAGGTTCCATTTTGGACCCCTCAATTTCGTGCCACACCCAAATGAGTAGCTGACCAATTTTATTCACACTCTGTGGTTGGGGAGGAACCTTCCCACTTGGTTGCGGGGCTTCGGGGCTTCGGGTCATCAATTTTGACATTTTGGACTCGGATTGGCAAAGAAAGTTCTGCATAGCTCGGATTGGCAAAGACATTTTCTCCATCCGCTTCTGGCTCGCGGATTGCCATGAGCTCGCCACATGGAAGTCCCACATGGAAGTCCCTTGAATCCAGCAACGCGTGGGGGGGAAAAACAAAAACATCACGAAAAAAAGTCAAAACGCCGACCCGGGCGAAGTTTTATTGTTCTTCTTCTCGAACTCTCGCGATTGAGTCGAAGGGAGCACGTAGGTCCTTGCCGATATTAAGGGGTCCAACTCTATGTTTCCCTTTGAAGATAACCAAACGGCCCATAGGTGATGTTAACGACCGATTAAGTAGAAAAAGAACAGCGGCACTCACCTAGTAAGTTGACCCAATAGGCGATGTTAAACCGAAAGAAGCCGCGCCATCTGAAACCACTGAAGCTTCTGCATGGAGGTTCTGAAGTGAAGATCGTCTCTCGGCTACTCCCGCCAGGCTCCTTTTCAAACCTAAGCTTCCGTTTGCTCAAGAATTGTTCTCTCACCTGTTGGTTTTGAAGGGAAGCTATCACTACTGAAAATGTGCTTTTTTGCACGGGACGTAAGCAAATGGAGGTAAGGACTTTGAACATAAAAGTAGATGCCACAACTGCCCCCATGCGGGTTGGTCCCCTTGCCCAAATACAGGAAATTGCGCCATCTACTTTTTATCCTGTACACTTTAAAGAGCTGCCCTTGAAGGGATAGGCCCAACATGTAAAAAATGGTTTTGCCCCGGACAACCTTCCTCATGAGGCTTGTGCGGCCGAGAAAAGAAAAACATCACGGGGGAGGGCCCTAGCCCAACTTGTATCTTGATTTGGTGCCTCACTTGGCAAAAGGGAGGTTTTACATGGAGGGGTCATCTGCCTTAATTCCTACTATTCTTACCTCTTAAAAACACAACTTTTCAACTTTTTGGGTAACATGGGCTATATGCCTGTAAAAGATGAACACTTCCCCAGGGCTTGGAGTTTTAAGGGGTAAGTATTTGTTTTTTGAGTTGGGCAGTTCTCCCATTTGGGTAGAGTCCCTTTTTCCCAAAGAAGTAGAATTGTGCCAACCAAACAACCCGGGTCACCGTCCTTTTTTGAGGGCACCCCTTGGTTGGTGGGTGGTCTATAGGGAAGCCAAGAGGAAAACCACCATTTTGAGTTTGGGGGGTACCCTGAGAAAAGACCCATATGACATCACACCAGGGTGAAAGTGGATGGCACAATTCTACTTATTTGGGTAAAAGGGGCGAAACCCAAATGGGGGAATTGCCCGACTCAAACAACAAATACCTTGGTGCATTTTGCTTGGATGTTAGGACTTTAACTTTTTTTGCCAACTACTGGGTTTTTCATTAAACCACCAAAAGTTAAACTTTTAGCAGGGGAGCAGAAAGCAACTGAGAATAGTAGGCATTAAGGCAGATGACCCCTCCGGGTTGTTTTGTTTCAGCCTGTCCGTTTGTGTGGCATCCATTTGAACCTCGGACGTGTCTTGTGGTCGGCGGTGCACAGCCTGCCGTTGCTACAGGGCACAGAAGCTTAGCTTTTGCTTTGCGCGGGCACTGCAGCACAGTCTGCCAGTGCAGGGAGGCCTGCCGTTGTGTTTCACGCAACGTTGCCCGTCACCGCGAAGCTCAGCGATCAAGGAAAAATCTATGGTCCATTCCGGGGCTCACTGACTTTCCCATGTGGGGAAGCCAGAATCGTTGGCCGGGGATCATGTGCCGTGCGTATGACTTTCGAGGAAGGCGGAGTCGGACGCTGCCTCCGACGAGATCACGCCGCCTGCGGCTGCCACCGTGTATTCGCCCTTTGGCAGAACAGCCTCTGTTGCATCAAACCAAGGTTGCGTACTTGAGAATTGATGCGTTAATCCACGATGTGATTCGTCCTCAGCACCAGTACCTGAGCTGAGCCGGTGTATTCCTTATTTGAATCAACTGAATGGGCAAAACTGTTCATCTGGAAAACCCTGAGAGGCAGATGACTTGATCCACCCTGCGCCCGGGGGACGTGACAATCGGCCTGTCGTAAACGGTCCATAGGCGAAGGGAGGCCCCCCAGCATTTAGGCCTTATCTCAGAATCTCACAATAAAAACAATGACAGCCCTCCAGGGACCCCAACTTAAGCCGGGGCTTGATTATCTGCAGGTTTTTCAGGGCTTCCTTTACGACCTTGAATCCCTTCTCGTTTTCAGCTTCTTCTTTTTTCCAAGTTCGCAACTTTTCCTTCTTTGCCATTTGGAACATGGGAGTTGGCACGAATCGTTGGCAATCTTCTTTGCTTGATGCCATGTTTCTCCATCTGAGACGGGGAGCCTTTCCGATCTCGGGGCCTGTTTGTCCCCATGGTTGGTTTTCCTTTGGTTTCCTACCCGAAAGCAGCAGCCGACACTTTCGTGTGGGTAAAGATGCCAGTTTGGCTATGCCAGTTTGGCTATCATTGTTTGAGCTACAACCACATGCCGCCGCTTGATAGCGCTGCCCAGGACGCACTGAGTCCCCGAGTTGGCAAAGCAGATCACTCGAGCTGATAGCGTCGCGAGTGGCAAAAGTCGGCTGTGAAGCCTAAGACGTCCGAAGTTCTCGTGGCTTCATGGCTATGAATTTCAATAGGGGACCACCTCCAAACTGGTTGGTAGACCTTTTAGTCCCCACCGAATCTTCATGTCCGACGGGTCCAAAGCTGACGAAAAGTCGCGTCCATGTCACGTGGGAGAATCACGTGGGAGAATCGCCGCGAGGCTCCAACCCCCCAGGGCCTGACCGGTGGAACTCAACGCGCGAGCTTGCGTGGCTTCGGTTTTCTCAGTGCCCCTTCAGCCTGTTTTGGTTGGGAGGCTTCCCGTACCAAAATAGACTACAGAAGAAGTTGGGCACCCTTATTCTAACCTCTCTACTGGAGGACCCTAGCCAAGGACTTTTTGGACTTCAAGAATCACTTAGCCTGGCACCCCCTCCCAAAGATCAACTTGTTTCATCCAGAACATGTCTGAAGCGCAGAGGCAAAATGCACCTCGAGGGCCATTCAAATCAGAGGCTTGGCCCCCCAGACTTGGATGATTTCTTCGCAGAAGTAGCGACCACCCCTGTGGGAATCGAGCGTTTTGAGGATTGCCAATCTGCGATCCCTGGTTGACAACATTGGGGAACCTCCAAAATAGTTGGTGTTCCTTTACGCCCATGTGCTGAAATGAATGGATGTCTTTTATTCTTAAAGGAACCCTATCATTATCACTACTGGATGTATTTTCATTTTTCCAAGGGAAGAAGCAAATGGAAGTTTAAGTTCCCCATTAGATGACCGTTACAAAGGTACCATTGACAAAAGACACAAACACATATCACACGCCAAGTAGTCAGTTTGATTCGTGCCCACCATTGGCGTGAAGAGAGCGGCACGAAGCAGAGCTTCACGAGTGTTCACGAGGAATTTCAATGTGTCACACGTTTGGACATGAGTCGAAATTGACATGTCCACCAAAGAGCCCCCAAAGTGAATTTCGGACCCGGAACGTTTCCACTTTTTGACTACCCCAAGATAGACTGAAACCCAGTTCCGTTTTTGGGGGGTACTCAACCACTTGGTTTAAGTCTGCCGGGTAGAAAGGCGTGGCACTATGTCTCCGATGTTCGCAAAAAAAAACAAAAAAAACATCGAGCTTTTGGCCCAAGCCAATAAGCTCCGATCTGATGACTTCAGAATCAAGTTGGTGCAACCAGCACGTGAGCCATATGGCTGGCTCGTCTTTTTCCGGGAATCGGGGGACCCCAAGATGGTGGCAACGGTCTTCCCTTCGGCGTGCCTTTGAACGCCACACAAAAAAGAAGCGCGTTAAGTCCAAAGGAAGACACACCCATATTGAGTGCTCACTTGGGAAGCAGGGAAACGAAGCTGCTGGAGCCGAGCGAGACAAAACATATACGCGAATCAAGAGGACGGCACCTGAGTTCAGTGCCCCTCCCCTTATATAATGGTTCCATGCGGTCGGGGTGCCGGACCCACTAAACAGTGGAAGAGCGCCGGGGGTTCGCTCTTTCAGGGTCTTGAAAGGGCCGCGGTGTTGTCGAACGTTGTTTTTCAATTTTATTTTTACTGCAGTGCCCTTGTTGTTGAATGTGTTTTTCCCCCCTTTTTTTTCTCTTCTTTCTTTTAAAAAGAAGCTGTAGTGCCCTCAACGTGAGGGTGTGTCTTCTTTTGAGGGTCCCCCGTTGTTGTTGGTATTAAGGGGAAAGGAAAGGAACACCGATGCCATATTCTTCTTGAGGGGGGGTCCAACCTAAAAATTACATTCATATTGGTGTGTCTTTTTTTTTTTTGGGGGGGGGGAACCCTTTTTGGTTGTAAGAGGAACACAAGAGGAAAATCACCAATTTTGGAGGGTGCACAAAAAAAGGACACGCCCAAATGCACCTTTGCAGTTGAGGCCTTGGATGTTACCTATCTCGCCAACTCCTTCGAGACCCGACCGACACATTTTTTGCCTTCGTTCCGGGTTCGACTTCATGCGGCCTTTGTTGCGACTTCAGAAGGGTTTGACTGGTTCCTTTACCTCACCCACGGGTTCCTTTCTTTGGGGGTTCCATTTTTGTTTTTATCTTTTTGGGTTGGTGAGTAAACCAAAGTTAGGGCCGTTAGGGTTCACGCTGCCATGGATTGGATGCAGACCGAGCCCGGCTTTTGGCCTTGCCTGGACTTTGATGTGCAGGTGGGATGTTTGGCGCGAGCATTTCGGATGAATGTTTGGCCGAGCACTTTTGCCCGGGGTGCATAAAGAGAGAAGCAGGTTTTCTTGCTAGCTTCCGGGAATCAGGGAATGACCTCCAACCATCTCCCATGGTTTCCTTTAAGGGAATCCCTAGTTTCATTCTCAAAACTTGGGTTATCATTTACTGAGTAGCAGGAGGTTTTGTGTGGTGCATACCTCGTGTTGTTTTTTCTTTTTTATTCTTCATTGTTTTTCAGGGGTTGACATCATACCCATTTGGAGTCGGGGAGTACACCTGAACCCCGCATGAGGCAGTGATTGTCCCAGATCGCGAGCAAGAACCACTGAAAAGGTCAGTTTGATGGATAGTGACTTTCAGTTTGCTTCTACTCCCTATAAACTATCTTGACACCCGACCCCCCCCCCAAAAGAAAACAACACAGGATACCTCCCTCCCTCTAACATAGCAACTTTGGGAGGGTACCTGGAAGTTCAATTTCCTCTTGAAGGGGCCCCCGGTCAGGTGCCATGTTAGTGGAAGGGCATTAGAGCTTGTGGGTTTTTCGGGTTCTCGGGGGTTCACATCACCATTGAAACCCTGGGGGCTCATGCAACCACCATTGTTTTTGCCTGTAGGCCTTTTGGGGATTCGGCCGAAAATCCTTGAAACGGCCAGTTTTAAGTGGGGAAACATAGACGGCCAGAAAAAAGGCGCCTTTCCGGTAGCAGGTATAGATTGTCTCACGCAAGTTGGGTCAACCATGGCCAATCTTTTCATGGCAAGGGAGGTATAGGGGCCATGTACTGGACAGTTCCCGCCAGGTGCCGCTGGGCTTCTCTCAGGCGAGGCGAGTTGGGGGTTGCGGATCGGGGGTCCTTGGCCGGGCTGCCCGAGGAAGAACGCCATGGCTGTCTCAGTTGTTCAGTGGCCCCAATTCTTTTTCCAACTTTTGTTTGGTGGCTGCCCCACTAAAAATTTGGTCTTCCCAAAGAAAGGTTCCCTTTCTTTCCGATTCCAGGGTCACTGAACAACTGAGCTGTGGGTCAAAATCAATGGGATCCCATTTTGGGGGATTGGTGAATTCACCACCCATTTTGGAACCTATTTTAGTGGGGGATTGAATCGGATGTTCACTGGAAAAACGAGTTGGAGTTTGACCCATGGCCAATGGCCTTGGTTGACCCAACTTGGATGAAGATCCTGAACGGTTTTCTCAGGGTGGTGGAATATATGAACCCAATCATTTGGTGGAGAACGATGGAAGCCTAATGTAACTCCCAAACCGCTCTTGGCAATGTCATTAAGCTGCAACAGGGGTTGCATAAACACGCATTCCTCACATAGGAGTTGATCAGAGGACCATTGTCTGGCCTTACTCTGAATATTCTGCGGAAGACTACAGCGCTGCAGGCGTTTGCGCCCGCAAAATATCTGGCAACGAGTCTTGTGTTGGGGGCAACTGAACCTCAAAATGTGTGTGGAGACAAAGAAGCACTCATTTTTTTCGCTTAACCCCCCGCATCCCATTCCATTCAGAAGTCTTTGAGCAGCGGGCAGGGCGCCATTTGATCCATGCCTCGCCTTTTTGATGCAGTTTGGTCACAAGAGGCTTGCTCAGAGCCACAAGGTGTGCGCACATCTTGTCTGATTTTCCCAGAAGTTCGGAGGCCCTCCGTAAGGGAACCCTCGCAGTCAACCTGAAAGTAAAACATATATTCTAAGACCCCAGTGTAGCGGTAGGGAAATCGATTCGAAACCGACCTCCCCGCCCCAATTTGGATTTTGAGGGGAACATAGTTTAAATGTCTCTCTCTCTCTCTCTCTGTCTCTCTCTATCTCTCTCTCTCTCGTCACGCAACTTCCAGAAGCTTTCTGGGTTCTTGAATTCGTTGGGGGGGTACCGTTCAACTCTCCCCACAAGTTGCATACCCAATACGAAGCGGACTTTTTTACTTGATCTTATCTTGGTGGCTCCCAGCCATCTGGTCCCTTAGCTTTTAGCTTCTTAGCTTTTTAGTGGTAGTTTCCATTTAAACCACTAAGAGTTAGTCACTTTTAGCGGGGGATACGAAAACGGACAGCCTGGTTACAGTATCTGAGTATCTGCCTGTATGGCGAGCTCACCGCTTCGGGCTTCGGTAAAACCAGCTCAAGCCATGACAAAGGTCCATTTACTTGGGGATCCGATTCTTAACTCAGCTTTTGGACTTACAGCCAAAGGTGCAGATCTATCACTCTACTTGGCGGCTCCCGAAGGCCATCCGGTTCCTTAGCTTATTATATATTTTTATATCTTTTTAGTGTTTGTGGTACATATTAGTTACTCTGATTGGTTTCCACGAAATTGTCATATCATTGGTTTCAAATATAAAAAAAAGTAGTGGAACTCTGATTGGTCTAGTGGTACATATCTTCTCATCTTTTCAATAGAACTGAATCAACGCCGTGGCTCCGGAATCAAATTTCGGAATCAACGCAAATTTCGGACTCAACGCCGTGGCTCCGGACGCGCGGAAGGCGGCCAGGAGCGCCAAGGCCGCTCTGAACCCAGAGGCGCAGAGCCGCAGCTGGCCGCGCCCGGCACCGGGCTGGCTGGGGGAATGGATGGAAGGAAACCGAAGGGGTCGTCAGGGCCTCTGCGTGTTTTTTTTTGGCCAAAACAAGGGGGGGACATATGCTGTTTTTTGGCAAACAAGGGGGGGGGGAAATATGGTTTAAAAATAATAATCAAAATCAGAGCTCGAGCTTTCCAGTATTAAAAGAAGAGAGCCAGTTTTCCAGACCCATGCCTTTGGGGGAATTCCCGTAAAAGAAGGACGGCATCGGCCAAGCTCATCTTGCAGGTGCGATAGGTAGGGAATGAGGGAATGAACTTGGGGATTCCCGTAAAGAGGTTGGACACCAAATCGGATGGATGGATTTTTTCTTGGTCTCATTTCCGATTCTCATTCCCTGCCTATCGAACCAGCAAAAACGTTTCGGTGGCACCCCTTGAAAATGACGGGATGCCTGATCAAGTTGAGGGACCTGTTTTTTGGACAGTTGGGCGCCCAGGAGTCAAGAGGGGTGAATTTTCATTTCGAGGGGCAACGGTCAAAAGGTGGAGTCTGGCTTTAGGCGAGGTGAAAAATTCAAGCACTTGCTGGTTCTCAGCAGGGAATGAGTTGGAATGACGCCAAGAAAAATCATCCCCTATGGTTTCCTTTAAGGGACTCCGCTTCCGGTGAATTCCAAACACCCGGAACGGTCATTCCCTACCCTACACCACCAAGGGGTTTAGTGGGATTTCCATTTAACCCACAAGTTAAACTTTTAGCAGGGGATCTGAGGACAGCCCAGGATATCAACAGCTTGCGATGTCTGGCCAAATCATCCTTTGCGAGTTTTGACCCTTCAAGCAAGGGCAACCATGGGTCCCATAACCATGGCCCACAAGTTCTGACGCTTCAACATACCCCCCCCCCCGCCATGGTGTGGCGAGATTTCGAAGTTGGATGTGGACCATAGCAGCTGCTACCCCTAGACTTGACCAAGATTTGACCCAAGATTGACCGAGATGTTTGCCCTTGTTGGGGCAACATAAGGGGCTACGTTCTCACACACACACATGACTCTTCCATGGTGATACCTGTGGTTTTGAAGTACCCCACAAAACCATTCTGTCTATTTGGCCCCTGATGAATGGAAATACCGCTGAATTTGGAATTTGGACCATACAGATGTTCCCCAGACTTAGCCAGGATTTGGCGATCCAAGATTGGACCTTGTTTTTACCTACAAGATTTGGCCAAGATCCGAGTGAATCTTTTTGTGAGGGTACCATGTTTTGGTGGCTTTAACGGGAAACCACAAGACCGTTTTGCGACGTGCCCGTAACAAGCTTGCTGATTCTCAGCAGGGAATGAGGGAATGCCTCCTAAAACAATTTCCTATGGTTTTCTTTATGTGGGGATTCCAACACACGGTTCATTCCCCAGAACCGGAACGGCAATTTTTCTGTTTGTCGCAGCATCTGGGTGAGGCACAATGCTCTCCCACTTTTGCCACAGGCCGCCGAGTTTGTGCCTGGCCGTGCTGCGCTTGAGCCGACCGGCAGAGAACAAAACTCGGAGTTCGCAATGGGTACCCAGACGCCTGGTGGTGCCACTTCTGGTTTCCCACATGGGTATGTGGAAATTAAACCACCAGGATATGGACCGCAGGCTTTAGTCCTTGTTTCAGGGCAAGTGGCTTTAGCTTTGGGGGTTCTTACTTTTCAAGAGGCGGGGTTGGTTGCGTGAAATCGACGTGGAGTGCTGCAGGTGATGGTCAGGGTGCTGGTGTGGTGTAAGGTGCTGTCCAAGCAAGCAAACAAGCAAGCAAGCAAGCAAGCAAGCAAGCCAGCAGACAGACAGACAGACCGACCGACCGATCGACCGATCGACCGATCGCCAGACAGACAGACAGACCGACCGACCGACTGATCGACCGACCAACTGATCGACCGATCGACCGACCGACCGACCGACTGACAGACAGACAGAGACAGACAGAGACAGACAGAGACAGACAGAGACAGACAGAGACACAGAGACGGACAGAGACAGAGACAGACAGAGACAGAGACAGACAGAGACAGAGACAGACAGAGACAGACAGAGACAGAGACAGACAGAGACAGACAGAGACAGACAGAGACAGACAGAGACAGACAGAGACAGACAGAGACAGACAGAGACAGACAGAGAGACACACAGACACACAGACACACAGACACACAGACACACAGACACACAGAGAGACAGACACACAGACAGAGACAGACAGAGACAGACACAGACAGACAGAGACAGACAGAGACAGACAGAGACAGACGGAGACAGACGGAGACAGACAGAGACAGACGGAGACAGGCGGAGACAGACGGAGACAGACGGAGACAGACGGAGACAGACGGAGACAGACAGAGAGAGACAGAGACAGACCCAGACACAGACACAGACACAGACACAGACACGTGATTAGAACCAATGCAACCCCCCCAAAAAAACAAACAAAATGACACAACCTCCCCCCACGCGCATGTGGCAGCTCCGAGGTGGCGCCGTTGCCTGCGGCTCTGCGAGCGAAGGTCGCTGCCGCTTCCGCCTTTCCAGGCGCTGAAGCTGGCCAGGAGGCGATTGCGAGCGCGATTTCGAGGTTGATTTCGAGCGATTTCGAGGACGAGGGGGGGGGGGGGGTTGGGTTTGTTTTTTTGTTTTGTTTTTTTTTTTGGGGGGGGTTTGGCGGATGGCAATTCGCGGTTTCTGATGGGTTCCTTTGCTTTCTTTGTGGTTTTTAGTTGTTTTAGGGGGGGTGGTTGGGTTTTTGGGGTTTGGCGGAGGAAGAGACCTGATCCAGGGGTGTCTTTTTGCCATTTGTGAGAAAATTGGCGACCCCATCAAAAAGGAATCCTTCACTAGAAACGACAGCGACTGACTGGGCGAAATTTCGACTCAACCAGCAAGAAACGACAAGAAGACTACGTTTTGAATTCCCTAGACTTGCCATCGGTGCGAGAGATGCAGGGAATGAGAATCTGGCTATTCCTGGGGTTGAAGAAAAAAGGGGTCAACATGACCGGTTTCCGGTCGGTCTACTTCACTTGGCGGTTCCACTTGGCCAATCGGTCGGCTCCTCAGCTTCGCAGTTGGCTTTTCGTTGGTTCAGTGCTTAGAACCGCTGCAAAGCTAGTGGTTTTGGTTAGTTTAGTGGATTAGTGGCGTTGGTTTAGTGCTTGGGCGTCCCTTCTTTGTCACGCTGAGCTGTGCTAGCAACTTGGGTTCTGCGAGCTTTTGGCTTCTTGGCTGAGCTTCGTTGTGGTCTTTTTGGCTCTGTTCACCTTTCCGAGTTAGGCGCCGGCAAAACAAACCGCTTGTTCTGCTACCATACCAACTGGGTGTATTATGACGACCAAACCACACGACCGAATTCACCCTAAATGGTGGTTTATGTGGGGAATAGCCCCCCAACCACCGCAAGTTTCAGGTTGCTGAATTTTTTATAGTTCACCCAGATACCAAGGGTTGGAAAGTGTAAAGGGAGAAAAGGGAAGCTAAAAGAAACAAAGAGTTCTATTCTTGGCCCATCTTACATGTTTGCCCTTCAAGTGATGGTGGTGGACATGATTTAATCCTGGAAATGGGGTTGGGTCGACCAAGCATTTTGCAAGACTCTTCTTAGAGCATTTGTTTGGTGGGGTTTGAGTTTGCACATTGTCCCGGTGCCCATGGGGGCGGTCATCACAAGTTGCCGCAAAGGGAAAGGTTGGGAGCATCATTGCGAATGTTGTGGGTTGCAACTTCCTTTGACTATTCATACCTTGGTGGCTCCCAGCCATTTCCTTAGCTTTTTAGCTTTTTTGTGTTTAGTGGGTTTTTTCCATTTAGCCAACTAAAAGTTAAACTTTTGTCGGGGGTCTGAGAACCGCCTAGTTGACTATTCATACTGTATTTGCCAGGGGCTTGTGTTGGCGAATTGGGGAAGGGCCTCGGTCTAGTCAGGGGCCTGCTTGTTCATGGAGCGAATGAGCAGGATTTTTCCACCAGCCGAGGCCGAGCTCTTTTTTTTTTCGCCCTCTTTGACCTTATTTGCCCCAGACTGACTGCGCCCCAAACCTCCAGCCACTTTTTTTGGGGGGTGGGTTTTGCTGGCTTCCTGAAGTCAGGCTTTTGCTTCAGTCCAGACTGCCATAGGTTTCTCAGGCAGGCGTGTTTGTACATAGCCCTTTACTTTGAGGGACATGCTTAAAAGGGGTTCCAGGCACGAAGCGGGGCAAAACACGGCTCAAAGCTCTCAGTTTCTCATGTGAGGTTTGGTCAACACCACCGGCAGTCTATAGTTGAACTGAGAGGGGCACGGGGGAACTCTGAACATTTCCCAGAAAAAAAAAAAACAGGAAACCTCATTCATTTTCTATTTTCGTAGCCTAGGTCCTCCAGCTAGGTGCCCTTTCTAACCTCCTTTTTGGTTGGGAGTGTTCCCCTACTAGTCTAACCTCTCTACTGGAGGAATTAGTGGATCCTCTTTTTTGTTTTTGGCGTTCTCCCAAAGGAACCTAGTTGCTAATTTGTCGATTTTCCGTTTCGAGGTTTGAAGCCGCTGCGGCGTCGGCCATCCAACAGCACTGGCGCCAGCACCGCGTCTCGCGGACTTGTTTTTCAGGCGCGGATGCGGGGGGAAGCGGGGGGTGGCCTTCTTACTCCCTGTGAAATGGGGGTGTCTCAAAATAGGAAACTTACCTCTTAAAAACACAACTTTTCTCAACTTTTTGGGTAACATGGGCTATATGTCTGTAGAAGATGACAACTTCCCCAGGGCTTGGAGTTTTAAGGGGTAAGAAAAGGGGCTGTCTCAAAATAGGAAATGGACCCCTTTGTGTGGATGGTTTTAAAGGGGAGACCAAAAGGAAGCCACCTACACGGACCCCAGTTATGAGGGACTTGCCAAATTGCAAGATGGTGGTGGCACTTGTGGACCCGCCCTCGTTGGACCACGGAGATTCCACATGAAGTTGGTGGGTCTGGCCCGATGGCAGGTTTCCCCTGCTCGCTTTGGTTTGGGGGCTCAAAATTTAAGAGCTAGGGTTACGCAGGTGATGGTCTTTGTTTCCATTTACCTCCACTTACCTAGCGGCCATTTTGGGTACAGTTTTTTGAGCTACAGCCGTTTGAGGATTTGAGCTTTGCAGTGCCAAGCTGGATTTGGAAGCCGCACGCCTTTCGCCGCATGGGAGCCGGGCGGGAGGCGGGAGCGGCCCCGGTGGGGCGGCCGGCCCTAAATTTGCTAAGCCTCTCAAATCTATTGGGGAATTGGGGGCTCAAAAAAACAAACCGCCGAATTCGAACTCCTCAAATGCAGCGAGGCAAACTTTTGCATTCTCCCGGTCTCGTCTCGCAGGCCAAAGCAAGAATCGAGCGTCAGTTCCATAGGTGTCCTTTTAGGGGAAATAGATGGCCCTGGTAGATGATTAAACCACCCAGGTAAACCAGAGCCATCTATTTTTCTACCAAAACAACCAAAAAGGACACCTATGGTCAGTTCCTTTTCCAAGGGGCTGCAAGGCGAATCACTTCGCACTTTCCTCGAACTCGCGGTCTCAAAATAGGGTTTTGGACTGTTTCGTGGATGGTGCAGGGAAACCAAAGCGAACCCACCTATTTTCACCCCCAATCATGCGAGAAACACACGCAAATGGCCGTTGGTTGAGGTTTCAGGCTGGGAAAAAGGGGGAAACATAATTGATTAGTAATTTGAAAAAAATAAATCAATGAATGAAACAATAAATGAATAGATAAACACTAAAAACAAAAACATGCATACGCGTGGCGCACACTGTCGGGAGTGTTTTGTTGCACACTCAAAACGAGACGAGCCACCCGCTCGAAGGGTTGTGGAATTGGCCCTGGGGTGGCACCGGGCGCCATCCCGTCAGTGTGTTTCGACCACCCCCCCGCCCCCGCCCCCCTCAGCACCATGTGTTCAGGCACCCCCAAATGGGTGGTTTGGGTTGGCGGTTTGGATTTTTGGATTTGAACCCTTGGTGTTCTGGAGAACCTGCTGATTTGTCCATGCCCAGCCAAAGTATTCCGGACCCCAAGCAAGCGTAGATGGTTGGTTTCCGTTGGTCGGGATTTCCCCAAGAACGACACGCCCGAATCTTCCTTCTGGTTTTTGGAGTCTCGCTTGACCTTCTGCGAAGGTTTGGAGCGCGCTCAAGAAGGCCTGGAGCAGGTGTCAAACAGGGAGCTTACCTCTTAAAACCACAACTTTTCAACTTTTTGGGTAACATGGGCTATATGTCTGTAAAAGATGAAAACTTCCCCAGGGCTTGGAGTCTTAAGGGGTAAGGGAGTTGGACCCGCCCAAAATGATTTGCATCTGTGTTCCGTTTGGATTTCCATGGAGCCCACCAGACTGGCCAGCAGAAAAGGGTACCCACACCTATGGATGGGCGTGATTGTTTTTTTGTGGGTTCCGATGTGGAGGTTGGTTTCAAGGGAAGCCAAGCCAAAAAAGCAACCAACACGTTTGGAGGTTCCTGTATTTTGGGACAACCCCGCTTCTTTCCCTGAGTCTTTTGAGCTGGTGAACATGACCCTGGATGATTCAACATGCCCAAAAGTGCCTCGGATGTTTGCTAAAATGGGACACTATTGCCGACTTCAGAGGGGGCCAGGGGGCGCTGGGTTAACAATACTCTTGTGGTTCCCAGCCACCCGGTTCCTTAGGTTTTCGGTTATTTTTAGTTGGTTTGGTGGTTGGGTTTCCGTAGTTCACGCACTTTAGCGGAGAGAACAGACGGCCCAGTACCTGGTTGGGGGTGACTGGGTCGCTAGCTGAAAATTCTCTCAGGGCACGAGGAATCGGCGTAATAGATACATAGGCAACTTTTGTGTTTGTTATAAAGATAAATACATAAGCACAAGAAATAGATGAATACACAGATACATGAATAGATATATTGACAAACAAATAAGCAGATACATAAGATAACTAACTAGATACTTAAACGAATAAATAAATCCATAATACAAGCAAATAGACAAATAAATGCATAGATAGATGACCCACGAAAGGTGTGGGCTTATTGGGGCAATCCCTTTTTTGATATTTTTTTGAGCGGGTTTTGACAGACCTCGCGAGTGCAACCGGCTAGAGATCGAGGTTTATTGTGACCCTGTTGAGCCCGCGAGCCGCGTGGGTGTTTCGAAACGCCACAGTCGGGCCACTGATGATGAAAAGGAAAAGAACTGAAACAAGATGACGAGATGCAAGAATAGAACAAAGAACACAATCAAGACAACACCTGGTGGTTCCCAGCCATCCGGTTCCTTGGCCGCTTTTTAGTTGGTTTAGCCTCACTTCCTGATTTCATGGACTTTATACTTCTTGGGAAGACCATTTTGGTGGTGCAAAAACAAAAACAAAAGCGTGGACCTTTTTAGGGCCATCCACTGGTAGCGGTGGTTTTTTCCGTACGTAGCCCACCCCAGGGGATCTGATCCGACCACCATGGATGCCCCAAGTCGCCCCATCCCACACTGGTAGCGTAAGTTTTTTTTTGTTTTTTAACTCTTAGAAGGGGATCTGATGTGAGGGCTTTGAGAACTAAGATCAAAGCCTGGTGCTTCTTCCGTTGGTTCCTTCGAACGGCCTTTGAAAGGCCTCCCGAGCGGTAGCTTGGTTTGGACGTAGGGAGCTAGGTGTTTTTTTTTGGTGTTGGTTCAACGGGCCAAGGAACCAAGGGCTTGGAAGACCTAAACACAGACGTTCAGGTACTCCTTGGCTTGGATGTGAATCCCTGGCTTTTGTAGAGGGTAAATGGGAAACCCCTCCTGAACCACCACCAAAGCACCCACCAATTAAAGGGAACGCCATATTTGGGAGTTGGGATGGTCAACTCGGGTTCCATCATGGCCATTGAAGCCAATGACTGGGACTCTCTCTCTCTCTCTCTCTCTCTGTCTCTCTCGCTCTCCCTCTCTTTCTCTTTCGTTAACAAATCAGACTGTTGTTCAGGGCTCCTTAAAAGACATTTATTTTGCAACCATTTGAAACATGGCTTTTTCAACACGCACACAAAAGGAAGCCACCATTTACAAGGCAATGTTCAGGTGTATAATGTAAGGATCCCTGTTGTTTGCTACAAGTGCAAGTGCTGTAATGTTGTCAAGACAAACAAACCTGTAGTCTGCGCAGCTCCTGTTTTGCATGGGCTCTTGATGTGGTAAAGCTCAAGGCCTGCGGTCATGTACAAGCGATGTAGTACAACACCACATGTACATTGACACGGCCCCGAGGGCCCCTCAGTTACAAGATCTATATGGGGTATCTTTCAACTGCAGTGGAAATTGCAGTATGATGAAAACAGATGTTGTTCATCTATGCTACTGAAGTGAAAAGAAAGGGGTGTAGTCCCCAGTAGCCCTTGCTGTTCAGGATTCAGTCCCTGACGTAGTCAGACTGAACGGAGTTCGTGAGGTAGCGCCTGATGTTGTAATCCAGCATGTAGTTTCACGCATGGTTGCGCCAGTAGTCCCTCGGAAACTGCCGAAGATTTTGTAGTGCTTGAACCGTGTTGGGATCCATCACGTAGTTCAGGCTTTCCTGACCTGAACCACGTGTCCTGTTGCAGTCCTTGATAGGTGCCTGAGTAGCTGGGGGGGTGTAGTTCATCTGAACAATGGGTATTGGTCAAGAGGTAGTGGCCGTAGTATTCTGTAGTCTTCCCAAGGATGCATCGTGTAGCACGCTCAACCGTGCCGTCGTTGCGGTGCAAGGTGTAGAGGTGTAGTAGTTGTTGGGTGTTGATCAAAAGGCGGTAGTCCCAAATGTAGTCAGTGGACAGGGAGTAGTGTAGCGTGAAGTCATTGAAGTTGTAGTTGATGAGTTGTGCTCCCTGGTAGTAGTTGAGGCGTAGGGTGTAGTTGCTCATGATGGGGGTGGAGTGGCTGATGTAGTCGCTGATGAGGTAATCGAGTTGTCTTTGAGTAGCACAATGGTGACGAGAACGTGGTCGTTGACACGTTGATGTGGTTTGTAGTTGTGTGGAGTTCTGTAAGGCTGTAGTAGTGCCAAAGATGAGCATCTGCAGCAGAATGCATCATCTGTAGTCGGTTGTAGGCTGGTTCGTGGAGTTTGCCTGGCAGTGATTGAAGTGGGAGGAAAGGTGTAGCTGGCTGTGGTGTAGAACAGGTTGATTGTAGCCGCATCACCCTGTCCTGCAGTAAGAAATCAGTAGTTCTCAACTGTCAGGGGGATGTAGAACTTGGTGTACTGTGGTGTAGTTGGTTGAGCAGGCGTTGCTCGTAGTAGGATGTTCTGGTTGATGTGTAGGTTGAAGTCGCTCGAGTCGTAGATCCTTGAGTGGCAGTGGTGTTGCAGTGGTGTGTAGTTGTTGGTCAAAACGCGCCTGTAGTTGCGCAAAGTTGTGCACTGGTAGGTGTAGTCGTCTCTGGTGCAGTCGACATCGCTTCCTCATCCTCAGGGGTTGTAGTCACAAAACGATCCATGGCTGTAGAGACCCAAAAGAAAATGAAGTGCAAAAAGAGCCTGTGCAGGAGGCGGGCAGACATGAGAACAAGCAATCAATCACATGTGGCGTTGACTGAAGCCACCAAGCATGCCGCCAAAAGTGCAAGTGACATTACATGTAGTTACTGTTACTTACGTACCAAATGTGACATGTTACATGTAGCTGCTACACACAAGAGGTTTGAAGCCGTTGTTGTTGTTGTGAAACAGTTGTGATGGTCGTTCGTAGTGCTAAATGCGTATCCCAATGCTCTGAATGAGCCGGTGTAGTGTTTCCTTGCTGATGTGTTTGGTAAACGAATCTGCGCTGTTGTGAAGTGTGTTGATGTTGATGATGCGCTTTGAAGTTGCGAAAGGCCTTGTATGGGCTACGTTCAGCCCCACTGTCTTGGTACCGAACGATCCTGGAGTTCTTTGCAAGCTTCAAGATCCATCCGTCTGGAGCTAACCCGACTGTGCTACAAGGATGTTTGACTTTGGGGTCACAAGTGTTTCATGTTTTGGTCGTGCTGTATGTTGATGATCTCCTTCTGGCCTCAAGTTCACGCAGGGCTATAAAGCACCTGGTTTCATGCATGAGCGAGCGTTTCAAGGTCAAAGTGACAGGCGCCTTAGATGCTCTTCAAGTAGGAGCGCTGCAACTTCTTGGGCGGAAGATTTGGAGAGAAGTTGTTTTTGGGCCACTTCTTTTTGGAGTGTCGGAAGAGTTTGAAGCGACACTTATGTCGCATGAGTTATTGGCAGGCCTCAAGACTACTAAGGTTCCTCCCGATTTCAGACCCTTGCAGGACCTCCCTGTTGAGGATCGTGTGCCGTTATTGGCTTGGCTGTCTCAGGCTAGAGGTGATCTTTGCTACTATGTGAGCGTGTTGTCCTCGTTTCAGTCTGTCCCGTGCCAACAGGCCGAGACAGGGCCGAGGAACCTTTGCAGGTTCGTGTGTAGAGGAAATTGAGGTTGATGTGTTTTGCTCATTTGCTTGAGCCTTGTCGTGTAGCAATGCTTTTGCCTGCTTTGGGGTCTGCGTGCCTGTGCAAATTGCGCAGAGCTCAGATTCTGATGCGAAACGCAAGCAACGGTTGTTCCAAGAAGTTGGTTTCCTGGTAGTAGGGCATCCTGCCCAGTCAGCGTCGACATGGACCCAGGAGGTTGTTGGTGTTTGCTCTTAGTGTTGTTGTTGGTTCTATGGTCGAGTAGTGCTTCATCCTCTATTGTTGGTTTGTTGTGGGCGATTCCTGGAGTGGTCACAGTGTTGCAGTTGGTCATTCCAGTCTCCTTGATCATGTTGTTGATGTAGGAGCCCTGAAGTCCAAGGGTGCAGTAGTTGCCAAAAGCGCTCAAGGTTTCTTCCCAGGAATTGTCGTGGTTTGCCAGGTTCGAGGCAGCCAATGTGCTTGAGTAGTACCTGCTTCTGGATTGCCTCGAGAGATGGAGTCAACAGTGGTCTGCACAAACAGGTCGTCCACATAGACCATGATGTAGCAGTCACGAGATTCAAGGGTCTGCTGAATACACTGACGGGCCGTAGTCGCAGAGAACTCTAAAAGTGCGCGTGGGTATGTGACCCCCGAAGCCGGCCCAGGCCAGCGCAAACTGGTGGAGGACAGCTTGGCGACCCTGTTCGGTAAGAGAGCTAGACTTCAATTAGTGTCCGGGCCACGGAAGTCCCGACCACCACCACCACCACCACCACCACCACCACCACGACTACTACTACTACTACTACTACTACTACTGCAACTACTGCAACTGCTGCTGCTACTGTGTGTAGGAGGTGATGGATGCTCCGTTGGACAGTGTTACTGTGTTGATCCTTTGTCGTAGTGGTTGTGGTTCTTTGGTTGCTTCTTCCGTTGATCAGTGTCCCTTGAGGACTGTCGTGATTTGGCCGGCCCGGAGTCATACGTGGGAAGGTTTGTCGATGTGGTGGTGCTGGTAGCGGTGGATGTTGTCGTCCGGTCGGTAAAGTAGCCGTGGGGCTATCCGGTAGCGGTCGTGAACTTGACGTCGAGGTCGACGGAAGTCGTAGAGGTGACGTGGCGCGTTGTTGTTTCGTCAGGGGTTTCGTGACGATGTCGTCCGTCACGTTCGTCTGTTGTCCATCGTCTCGTGTAGATCGTTTCTTTTCTGACGATTGGAGTTGCGTGTCCAACAGTGTAGCGAATGACGGGTTGTAGGTGCCGGAAACCTTGTTTAGCAACGCAAGATCTTATTTGAAGTCCGGTTGTAGTCTTCGTACTGTTCTTGCTTCCAGTACGCCTTGTTCTGTTGCGACGTAGTTTTCTCCAGCTTCGGAAACTTTTCCGAGCCATATGCAATTCCGCACTCGTAGGTCTGCTTTTGGAAGTTTCTTGTGTTGTGTCGCCAAACTCACAAATTGCTCGCTCGTAGTTTCTTCCCCAGCAAGGTTCGAAGCTTGTGTAGCCGTCGGAGTGGATGACGTTGCGATTTACCGTCCATGCGTTCTGTGTAGACGCTCAACGCTTCCTTGACTGTTGCTGCTGTAGGAAGGTGCATGTCGCACAGTCATTGTGCCAACTTTGGTTGCTGTTGCTTTTAGAAGTGCGTTGAGCGTGCCCTCGTTGTCGCTTTGTAGTATGCCTTGTTTTTTCTGCACGCAAAGATGAACGCTTGTAGGTTGTTGACCATGTAGCCCATCATTGGTGGTTTGTCCGGGACCATTACCGCCATACACAGTTGTGTGGTGTCTTGGTTGTCTTCTTGTGCTCTGAGTGGTCTATGTATGGTTGCCTTTGGTTGTGTGGTGTCAAGATCTGTAGAAGGTGCTGCTTTGGGTATCCGTATCTTTTGCGGAGCTCGTAGTTGTAGCTTTGATTTTGTTGGTGGTGTCTCCATTAAGTGTTTGTGGTTGCGAGCTCTGTCTTGTTGGTGTGGTCTTTGTTGTTGCTCGGCTTGAACCTGGTTCTCCACTCCAGTTGTCACCTTCAAGTCTTCTTTGTAGTTCTTGCTTGGAAAGTTGTTTGGGGTTTCTTGTAGTTGTTCTTGCTCTTGCCCTTGTCTGTTGTTGATGGTTAGTCGCCAATCATGTAGTTCTTCTTGTGAAGAGTGCTTTGCGTGGGCGTTTGTGGACTCTGATGGCGTAGTCACCATCGAGTTTCCAGTAGTCAGTACTTCCACCAAGGATTTGTCGTAGTCCTTGGTCTGTGTGTGTCAGTGGTGCAATTTGTTCTTGTTGTTGTTTTGCCGTCTCTGTAGGTTTGATCACAGCAGTTTGTTCTTGTTGTTGTTTTGCCGTCTCTGTGGATTTGATCACAGCAATGGATTTTCATTGTCTGTAGTCATTGGGTAGATGTCGTATCCTGTAGGAATGTCGATCTTTTCTGCTCATAGGTAGAAAAGTCCGGAGTGCCTGATGAGGTGTACTTGTTGTTGTCCGTGTGTGATGGTGCAGTGTCGTGGATTGAAGTCGAGTCCATATCCTCTATCAAATTAGTCTTGATGCACTGAGGATAAGATACTTCACATCTTTTGCATGGTCGTGCCAGTAGTCCCTTTGGGACTGCCGAAGATCTTGTAGTGCTTGAAGCGTGTTGGGATCCATCATGTAGTTCAGGATTTCCTGACCTGAACCAACGTGTCTTCTCTGTCTCTCTTTCTCTCTCTCCCTCCCTCCCTCCCTCCCTCCCTCCCTCCCTCCCTCCCTCCCCTTTCTGCAGTTGCCACAGTTTTTGGGTAGGTTTACAGGCAAACCAACCGGAAAACCACTATTTTTTCACTTTTTGGTCTGGGGGAGGCGGGGGGGGGGGGGGGTTGGATTTCTCCAAAGACGCTTGGTCGGGCGACAGCTCCGCCGCCTGCAGGCCCGGCTGCGCGAGCGCGGGCTGCGCCCTCACGGCAGCGGCGGCGGCGCGGTGGGCGCACGCAGAGCGCGCACCAAACGAGGCGAGCGCGGAGGGGCTATGCAGCCGGGTGAGATCGGGTTCCACCAAACCACCAAACACCCTGTTTGAGCCAGCAAACAACCAACCCCCCAACCACCCAATGCAAACCACCGGCTCCAGGTTTTTCAGGGGGAGGCTGCCACTCTGTTGAAGTCGGCAGTGGAGGTGCTGCAAGGAGCCTGAGTTCCTGGACCTTATACATTTTGGGCTTGGACATTTTTAGATCATTGTTCAGGGTTTCTGCAAGAAGTTGACAAAGATTCCCCTGTTTCAACTGCCAGTTTTGCACTTCCCGGACTTTAGTCACTTTTTGGGAAGACCATTTTAGATCTTTTAGCGATAAGAAGAAAGTTTTAGATTTTTTGTTTGGGCCATCCACTTGGAAAGTGAGCTAAGGGCTAAGGGTTTCTTCAAGAAGTTGATGAACCAATCTGGAAGCTGACTTTGAACCAGATTCCGTTTGCTTAAGAATTGTTTTCTCATTTTCCCCTGTTGGTCTTAAAGGGAATCTATCACTACTGGAAATATGTTTGAGGACTTAAGCAAATGGAAGTTCAGATTCCTTTGTTTCAACCGCCAATTTTGGTTCATGCCACCCCCTAAGGGAACAACCTTGTGAAAGATGGCACAATTCTCCCATTTTCCAATTCAATGACCCACAGTAGGGAAATTGTGTCATGATTGACTCCAGAAAACATATCGGAGCAAAAACTTTAAAGTTTTTAGATGTCGGAGGAAAATCATCTTTACCAGCGTTAAGCAGCTGGTTTTGGATTAACCCCTTAAGGACACAACTGATGCGAGGTCGAAATCTACGTTTTGCTGTTTCTGGGCAATTCATAACAAACGGTTGGGTACGAGCGAAAACCAATCATGAAGCTCCCTTTCTTGTTGTTTGTTTAATATGTTCCGCTTGTGAATTGGTAATTTGCCGCAACTGGAACTAAGGACGCGCCAAAACGAATGGCGCCCCCTCTCGAAACAGGATTCAAGTTACCTGAAATTGGTGGTTTGGATTGATGGGAACTGGGGGTTTGAACCCCTGGTTTTTCTTTAGGGTAAATGGGTTTTCCCCACTTGGATACCCCCGCGGCCAGGACACCTTGGCCAAAAGGAGTGTGGGAGGCGACCAAAGCCGCAAGGTGAGCGCGGCTGGGGTGGCTTGCGTTTGGCTTCGCTTCAAAGCCAACCCAAAAAAGGTTCCCCAAACAAAGACACACCCAAGTAGGTGTCTTTGTTGATTGATCCATTTGGAGACAGGATGGCAGGGGACTCACTGAAATGGTGGCATCGTTTCTGTCGCAGCTGTAGTTGGTGGCGCGAGCAGGGGGACCTTTCGTCGCTTCTGGGAGACCTGCACCAAAGACCTCTGATCGTTTCTTTCGCCCCGTGGTGCAAGAAACGAAATCGTCGCTGCCGCGCGGATCAATTGGAATTGGAATCCCTAAGGGGCGGAGGTTCAAGGGGTTCCTAAGCAATGTGCAGGAACTCCAGGGACATCTATGGAACCTTAGGGAACCCTAATGAACCCTTCAGAACCTGAATGAACCCCAGGGCTCTCAAGCACCCACCCCCCTTGTACCTACCTTGGGGATTCCGTAAATCAATGACCAGTTTCTCATGGTTTTGGATGGCCACTTTTTGAGGATTCGGCAGGAACTTCGCTTTGGAACCATAGAGAGCCTTCATGGCCACAACTCCAGAGGTGTCTACACTTGTAAAGGAAGCTAGTGGCACTCGTGTTGTTTTTTTGGGGGCCTACTTCATCAGAATGAGATTGTGGGGTACTGTCGACCCCTGAAAAATACCCCCCCCCCCCCCCCCCAGTGAGTATTCCAGGGTGGTCCCGTGAAAGAAAGGAAACTCCTCTACAAAGTACTTGAATAATCATGTTGACCCCGGATTAATAAACCCCGGTTTATTAATATGGGGGTGCTTTTCCCCGGTTTTAGTGGGGATTTATATCACTTTTGGAGGGGCCCCCACCCCCTTTTTTTCTTCATAAAAACCGGTTGGTTTAAAACAAATCCGGGGTCAACATTAAGTGGCGGGTGCCAGAACCCAGTCGGCCGTTGTTAGTGCAATTGCATCATGTTGATGGACGGCTCCTTAAAAGAAATTCATTAACCAGAAGAACCAGGAAACTCAGTCTGAAACCATTAACCAAGGAGAAACCACTGGGCTCCTTAACAGATCTCCATTTTGCCTTGCGATTTGAAACATGTGGCTTTTTCAACACCAAAATAAAGGTTGAAACCACCATTGAGAGGGCAATGTTCAGGTGTATAATGTAAGGATCCCTGTTGATGCACAAAACCCAGCACCTCTTTGGTAGGCGGCTTGTCCTGTTAGTCGCAGGGTTTCATCCATCGCAACTGCAGGTGTTTTGTCCTTTTTTTTTTCTTCTTTTTTTCTTTTTCTTTTTTAACGTAGGGCACTGATACGTGTGATCATAAGTGTCCTTTTTGGTTGGTATGGCTGAAAAACACGGGGCCCTGGTTTACCTGGCGGTTCAATCATCCACCAGGGCCATCTTTCCAAAACGGACCCCTATGTCACATTCTGTGGGTGGTGCCAAAGGGTCCTAGGGCTGTGGGGAATGGAAGCCACTTCTGTGATACAACAGAACGGGCCTAACCCCAAAGACGATCAGAGGTTCATATAAAAGGGGGACGCCCAAGAGTATCACAGAAGTGGGTGGGCAGAAACCCCGAGGGATCCCACTCCCCCTCCCCTCCCTCCCAGCCTCCATGAGTGGAAGATTGGAGCCTTCCGAAACTCGGTTGCTTTCTGCAAGCCCCTGCGAAAGGTGAATAATTTTGAATACGGATCCCACAACCCTGCCCTAGATTCACCCCACAGCGTGTGCAGCCGATCAGATCCCTTCCATTTCCGAGAGCGGCCGACCGGACTCATCCCGACTGGTTGGCTTCGCTGCAGACTTTTCGCCTCGGGGTCGCCTCCAAGAATGCAGGTGCGACCTCTGTCCTTTTTTTTTTGGAGAACACCTTTTTGGCGGGTTTTAAAGGTAACCAACAGGACACCACCATTTTTTTTTGGGGGGGGGGCGTCCCCCTAAGGAACAGAGTCAGGCAAATCTTATGAAATCTACACCTGGTGTGGGCTAAGGATTCAGTAAGGATGTCATTTCGCCACTTAGGTTGCTCCCCTTCAAATAAACATAGATCTAGGGGTACCTGGGGATCCGAATCTTTCAAGGACACCTCCAGAAACGCAGGGAAAACGGCGGTCGGTCTTTTAAAAGAACGATCGTTGAAAAGAACGGACCAGGAATCAACCCCTAGAATAGATCCCCCAAAGGAGCTTCCTCTACAGTTGCTTCGGTGCATTTTGCTTGGACGTTCGGACTTTTTAGCTTTCTGCCAACTTATGGGTTTTCCGTCTCAAACCACAAAAAGTCCAAAAAAAAGAAGAACAAACACAGAAACACTTCATTTAGCGGGGGTTTGCCGCTTTCGCCGCCGAGGCTGGGGTTTGTGGGTTCTACCCAAGCGATCTGCTTAGAGCGGTGTCGACCAAAGCGAGCCCCAAGGCCTGAGCCGATCCCGAGCGAGGCTCCGAAGGCCAGCGGTGCGTCTCGGGACGTTCGTCTTAGACCCACGGTTTTTCGGGTTTGGACTATTTTGGCGCTGAAGAAGTTCGGACTTTTTAGGTTTGGACCATTTTGGTGGTAGAGAAGGTTCAGAACTTTTTTGGGGCCATCCACTTGATCGAAATGAGTAGTTGGTACCCTTGGGATCAGGGTTCCTTCTAGACTTCTTGGACACATTGGGGGGTTTGTCAAAATGTTATGCCTTTGTTGGACCCTGGTGCCGATACGTGCCGCCTTTGCAAGGGGCTACCAGAAAAGGCCCAGGCCCTTAAATTTTGACCACTTTACCTTGGCATGCCAAGCTAGGGGTTTCAAGCACCCAACGAAAACAATGGCTATGTTTGGGGTCCTACACATACACCAGCCTTGGAGCAACATGAGCGACGCGCTTGAAAGATCTCTTCTCCCTTACCCTACAGCTGCAAGCCCAAATTGAAGGTTCCAACCTGGTTTCCAATTGGCTTTGTCTAGGAACCGGCATCTCCCACCGCGGATTTTGTGTTTTTCCTTTTGGTTTCCCTTTAAAAAAAACTTTCCAAGGCTACCCTCAAATTCAAACAAACGCAGCCAGTTGGAAGCTGATCCCCTCAAAGACCCACCAAAAACCAGGTCCCGTGGCGAAGGCGTACCCACAACCGCCGTTGGTTTTCCGAAGAAAATTGGCTTACGGCACACATGCCAAGGCGGAGTCCAACCAATTTGTTTGAGAGACCGTATTTGTTGAATTGGAATGAGCGAGGAGCTCGGAATCTGGCTCGGAATCTGGCCTGGTCTACGTACAGATGTTTGTTGCCTCTCGATTTGCGATGGCAAGGGAGCCCCCGTGAAAGTGATATGGGCGATGGTATCTCAGAACGGATGGACGAGTGTTTTTCTCCCCTCTGGAAGCTGCCCGAGTGGCACGCAGGGCGGGCACCAAGGCCAAAACCTTTTTACCAATCTGGTGGCCACTTGGAATGAGTCCTTTACACTTGACCCCGACCCACTTGAGCAATCCCAACCAGGAATAGTTGCGGCCGCTTTTTTAATTCTGTTCATTGCTTTGGGTGCACCGTTTTAATGCAGCTCGGTTTTGATTATACCTCACTTGAGGCTCTTGTAAGGACTTGTCACTTAACAACGAGCTTCGGATCAATAAGCCCAATGCTTGGAAATAGATGGGTTCCACTGGCTTAGCTGGGTTTTATGTTTACACCATGCTCAATTCCAAGGCACATCTCAATTCCCAGGAAAAAGGCATCACCATGCTCAATTCCATGGATTTCAATGTAGATGTTCCACTTACCAGGGAAATCCATCTATCTGATCAAAAGGACATGCTCGATTCCAAAGGCATCGGCCAAGCTCATCTTGCTGGTGCGATAGGGAATGAGTTGGAATGCACCTGGGGATTCCCGAAGAAAGGACACCAAATCGGTTGGATGGCTTTTTCTTGGGGTCATTCCGTTTCTCTTTCTCTGCCTATTGAACCAGCAAGCTTTTGGGTGGGTTTTTCTAAGGGGAAACCAAGAGGCAAAGGAACCACTTTGGAGGGTTTCCCTGCATCTCTCGCGCTCGCAAGCTCATTTTCCGGATTTGCAACGGGTCAGCTGCCTTAGCCCTCCCTCGAGCCAATGGAGTAGAACTTAGGTTTTTGGGTAGGTTTTTTTTGGTGGGTCTAGTGGTAGTTTCCGTATTTAGCCCAAGTCAAACTTTGTAGCAGGGGATTTGAGGGCAGCCCAGTTTTGAGCAGTGCTGTCCTCCAGATTCACACTGATTCATTCGACGCTCACATTGACCCTCTCAAGGCAGCTTCACTCAAGTGAACAGCTTGTGACTAAGCTCCAAGGCTAAGGTTGCTTGCGTTTGATTCCTTCATGGAATGCCTCTGAATCGCCTCGAAGACTTCAAGCATCTCAAACAATAATTGAAAGAGCCATCTCTGCATCAACCATCTCGAAGAATTCAACCGTCTGAAAGAACTCAACCATCTCAATTCAACCATTCAACAATTCAACCCGGCGCCTCTGTTTTTTTTGGAGTCAGCTGTTGTCCGCAGCGGCGAGAATCAGAGAGAGAGAGAGAGACGTAACTAGAGACGCTCTTTCGGCATCCGTGGCGGAGGGTTCAACAGTTCGGTTCGGATCGATCCACGGCATTGCTCTTGGTGGCTCAACCAGCCATCCGGTTCAACTTAGCCTTGCTGTTTTTTTTCCCCCTTTTTTTTCTCGCCCACTAAAAGGTAGTCACTGTTAGCGGGGGATCTGAGGGGACAGCCTAGTGCTGGCACCTCATTCCAACTGCTTGCTGAAGAGGACGGGCTCAGACCAACAGGAATTTGTGGATTTTGTTTTGGTTGGGCAAAACACGAATCGATCGCGAGGAGATCCCTGCAGAAAACAAAAACTGATGCAATTCAAAGGTGCAATCCGCAAGATCCTTCCCATGGGTGGCGAGATCTGGTCAACTTGGGCTGTGTTTTTGTTTGTTTGTTTTTTTTCTTCCCCGAGGATAGATCGAGGATTGGCTAACCCTTTGTTTTTGTTCTGGGATTCTATGTGAGTTTAGGATCGCAGCCAACTTGCTTGTGCCCAGTATGGAATATTTGCCAATGGAATGCCCCAACGCACCAGTGGGTCACCATAGGTTTGGTTCGTTGGTTCGTTCCCTTTCCTGAGAACCAAGCTCGCAAGGCACGGAAAGAGGGCGGCAGGCAGGGGATGTTGCTTCGGATCCTCCATGTTGCAAGTCACTCTTTTGCGGGTTGGCCACTTTGCTGGTGTGTTGTTTTGTTTTTGCCCGGGTTTCTGTAGGCGGAAACACCTCTGACCGGTTCGAGTTTTGACGGGGTTTCTCTTTGGTTTCTATTGTGAACACCCAAGTGGAGGGGTTTCCGGTTTCCGGTTTCGGCGAGTGGACGGGTTGCCGAGGAAAAGTGTGCGATTGAGTTCTTCAGACGGCATGATTCCCGGACTCGTCCCAAAGGCTTGGTAGGAGAATTGTTGGTTCGAGGTTTTCCGTTCTACAGTGACTTCTGACAGAAGGGTGATGTGCGTTTTCCACCCTCCGACTCTACATGTCATGAGCGCGCGCCGCTCCCCAATTTTGGGGCTAGCGAGTTTGGTGCGATGACTGCCTCCTCCGCGACTTTTTTTGGGGCGTCATTGAGCAAGAAGCGGAGCTGTCACTTCTTCTTGGCGGGCTAAATACGAATGGGAATCTGAACGTCTTAATGTTAACCCCGGATTAATAAACCTCTGGTTGATTAATAGGGGGGTGTCCCCTTCTTGGTGGGGATTCAGACCAAACATCCCCCCTAATATGGGAAGGGTTTTTTAATCCTGGGTCAACCTTTGTTTTTGTGTGCCAACCAGAGTTGGGCCAGGTTTTCTGCCGATGCCGCCTTTCTCCATTCAACCCCGACCTCCCCACTTGCATGTTTACCGAACTTGGTAAGTAGGTTATCAGCTATAGCCATACTTATAACGGAACCAACACCAGATACATATTCTGTGCCATGGACAACCTACTTAGTTGGTTAAACATCCAAGTATCGGTGCTCTCAAATTCTCCCCCCCCCCCCCCCCCCCCCACACCCCCACCCCATGGCGCCCTGATTGGATTTGGACCGCGGTTGAACGCCATCGCTGCGTCCAAAAGTTTGCTGGGTCCAAGGCCTGCAAGTGGATTTCAGGCACTGGACCTTTGCCAAATTCTCCAACTTGAAAGCCCGGAATTCCACCAGTAGAATTTCCGGCCGCCAGAGCCCAGAGCTTTCGTTTTCCCTCTCCCGATTTCAGGTCCCGCAGCCAGCCGGCGCGGTGGGTGCCTAAGCAAGGCGCGGTGGCCTCGCGCGGCCTCGTTGGGGAGGAGCCGCCCGCGGTTTTCCGTGGCACGCTTTTGGTGGGAGAAGGGGTCAATGAACTTGGTGGCTCAACCAGGCATCCGCTTCAACTCAGCTTTTTAGATCATTTTTTTTGTCTTTGGTGGTTGGTTTTCCGTATTTAGCCCACTAACAGTTCGTCACTTTGAGCGGGGGATCTGAGGACAGCCTAGTCCAGCTGACCGAAGGATTCTTTCTTTGGAAGCATTCCTACCCATTTGCATGGGAATCGAGCGCCACGTGTGACAAGAAGCTTGTGACGCAACCCTGTTGAGGTGATGTTAAGCAGCTCACCATCTTCAGTCAAAAGATCGGAAAAAGGGAGAGGGGAGGTGATAGGTTGCGACTTTCTGCGCCTCCTTGAAAGTGGCAAAGCCACATTGGCCCTTTCGGTATCAGGCTTGCGTCCATCCGGGAAATGGGATTGTCCATCCCAAAAAGTAGGGAGTCTCCTGTTTCGAGCAGGTGGAACACCGGCTCCAGAGTGAAGGAGTCGCGAAGAGAAACACGCGTGAGGCGGGCTGCTTTCGAATGGTTTGGTTAAAGCAGGGTCACAAAGCTGAGCCTTACGAAGGCTAGCTTAGGGACCGTCCCCTCTGTCTGAGGGATTCTGGCAAAGTGCCTTGCCTCACGAAGGTACATAGGGCAAGGCCAAAGCGGTTCACCCGGTTGGTAAAGGTTTGGTTTGATGGGGATTCATCAACAAGGGTATGTGTCAAAAAGAAGGCAACCCTAAACATGGGTGTTTATTTGTTTCCCTTTAAATCGCCGAATGTTTTGTGTTTTTGTTTTTGTTTAGGCTTTTTTGCCTACTGGCCCGGGGACACAAGTGGCCAACTCATGGGGCCGGATGGGACAAGAAATCCATGGCTTCGATTCTTCGATGCAGAATCGTCCATCACCCAAAATTGATATGTCTTCGTGGCTCCCAGCCATCCCCTTCGCTTTTTAGCTTTTAGTGTTTAGTGGTTGGTTTTCCGTATTTCGCCCACTAAAAGTGAGTCACTTCTAGCGGGGGATCCGAAAACGGACAGCCTTGCGTCGTCTTTTGTTGGGGGACACGAAACTTTTGGTTTCTAAAAGACAGCCAAAGGGAAAGCCACGCGTTTGGAGTCTGGCGGGTCCCCTAAGTTTGAGACAAACCCATGAGGTTCTTTGAGGATATCCATTTTAAGCTTCTAAGTCCCCCAGTAGTGCGCTTTTACCCTTTTTGGGGAGAGGGTCCCCCTACTAAAATAGACTACAGAAAAAAGGGTACCCTTATTCTAACCTTTCTACTGGAGGACCTAGGCTTAGTTTGAAGGGAGGCCGAACGGAAAGCTGAGTTCAATTTTGAGGGGTCCCCCCCCCATTTTTTTGTTTGACGCATATAGCGCGTGACCTCAACTGCACTTGCAGGAGAACGGAACAAGACCCAAGGGGTCGTCCGCAGCACTGAGAATCGCCCGTGGTTGGCTTGGAACATTTTGGGAGATACAGTCAACACACAATGAATGAATCAGACCCTCTGACATTCTATTTGGGTCAATTCGGCGCATTTTTTAAAGACCACCTTTTCGGAACACTGAATCCTTGCCCCCAACGCAAAACAGCGGTAGTTGACTTCTCTTAGAGGTAGGCCGCTTCCCGAGAAACCATGCTTGGCGAAACCTGTCAGATGCCCAGCATGTCAATTCAGATGAGTTTGTCAAGACAGTGGAGGAGTGGTTTTGCATGCTCTTTGTTTTTTTTGTTTCCCTTCAAGCAGCCCGCAAACACCCGGAAGGGTGGGGGGGGGTCGCGACCGGAACCGCCACGCCAGGCATGGATATGTTGCTTCTCGAGGGCATACATTTTGTCGTTGAAAAGGGGCACGGGAAAAGAAACCGGGGACTTGCGGAACGGAGCGACCATGTGGCAAGTGAAGAGTTTGGACTTTTGCCTATCCGGCCTCATGATTTTGCCATCCAAGTCACCCCCGTTCAGTGGGTGAAGGGGAAACCAACACATGTTCTGACTTTGAGCACCCCCAGAAACAGTCAAAAGAATGACCCCAGTCCATCCACCAAGGAAGTGAGTACCAGCGTACCAGCGATGGGTTTCTCACCTGGCACTCGCTCCCAGGTGAAGCATTGCAGCCGACTCGCCAGCGAAAAAGCTGCGGCGTGGGAAAAAGTGTGTGGCATGGCCCGATGGCCCGTGGTGCGGGTTTCGAAGGGAAGCTGCATGAGTTGCGCGTTCCCTCTGATTTATGCCCAGTAATGTCCGATTCATGCCTTTTTAGGCCATCGATATGGTACTGACGCTTTAGAGAAAAGCGCGAGGCCTGGAAAATAGACGGCTGCTTGTTCTTTGTACAACCATGCTGACGAGCATGGTTGGGTAAGTGTCGAAATAGGGGAACCCCTGAACATTTTCCTTTTGGGTTCCCTCAAAACCAAGTTGAAAGTGTATACTTGCAATGATGTAATGAATCGATTCGGCCAGGCCAGAGCAGCAAAACTCCAAAGCACTTTCTGAACGCCCCACAACTCGAGAAATCAAAAGCAAACCTTGAATGGGAACGTTTTGCTTAGCCAACATGCGGCGACCCCCCTTGGGGTTACTCTACTCGCTTACTTGTCTACACAAGCATCGAGCTCGCTTTAAAAACTGGGGTGTAGACTTCCTCGGTTTCTGAACTTTGAACATGGTGGTTCCCAGCCATCCCCTTAGGTTTTTGGAGTTTAGTCTAGTGGGTGTTTCCATTAAACCCGCAAGTTAAACTTTTAGCAGGGGATCTGGAAACGGACAGCCCAGTAAGCTTCACAGATCATTTCACAGGGCTCCTTAAAAGATACAATTTGCAGCCATTTGAAACATGGCTTTTTCAACACCAAAATAAAGGTTGAAGCCACCATTTAAAAGGCAATGTTCAGGTGTTTTTCATGTAAGGATCCCTGTTTCATTGGCAAACAAAGCCCGGACATGCAATCTGAGCAATCCACAGATTCGCGGCTCCGGTTCTCAGAGAAGGACACCAGCAACCTGTCTCCACAATCATATCATTGGCTTAGGCGAAATATGGCGCCGGGTTTCAGGCAGCTCAGGAAACCCGATCCCGGGCGCGTGCTGCATGCAGTCTGAGATCGATGTCCTCTTTTGCTGCCGCAAAAGGATCCGTCCCGAGTTGTGGCACAAATTGGAATCCCCAAAGTAAGTGTCCCTTTGGATTCCCTTTGAATCCAACCTCATCCAACTCAAATGGAATGGGATCTCCCCACGAGGCCACACCACCGCTTGGCCATGCATCTGCAGCTTCAATCGGGCGGTACGTGGGGAGAGGGAAAGCACGCGGGGCTTTCGCCCGTGAGCGGGGCTTTCGCCAGCGGAGCCGAGGAAGGCGGGGTTTTTGGGGTCAAACATTTTGAAAGGAAAAGGGGCGGAGGGTCTTTTTGTTTCGTGAGTATATCTTAGCCTCACTTCCTGAGTTCATGAACTTTAAGCTTTTTGGGAGGACCATTTTAGTGGTACAGAAAAGGTTTGGACTTTTTTGGGGCCATCCACTCAGCCAGTGAGTAGCGGCTCCCAGCCATCCGGTTCCTTGGCTTCTTAGATCTTTTTAGTGTTTAGGGGGTTGTCCGTATTTGGCCGACTGAAAGTTAAGCTTTTAGCGGGGGATCTGAGGACAGCCTAGATATGTGTGATGTAGGGCACTTGTGGGTGAGTGATTCTGAGTAGGTGGGTTGATCAATCTTCCGTTTCGGGCCCCCAGTTTTGGCGATGGCCAACTGTGGCACATATCCATGTCTTTTTGAAGCGGTTTCCCCCATGCGTCATCCCATGCACCAAACCTTTAGATATCAACTCGCGTGTGTGTTGATAGCGGGCACGGCACGTTCCGCGGGCCCCGGTTCGCTTCTTCGAGCCTCGCGTTTTCTTGCGCTTCGGCCTTGAGGGCTCCCCATTTTGCAACTGGCTGTGGCAACCAAAAAGCACGGTAATTTCCAAAATGGCGCAAGCCCTGGTAAGCGGAAACATGGACCAAAGCCTGCGGTTTGCCCCCTGCTGTTCAATTTTGAGCCACATCCAAAATTTTGTTACGTTGCAAGCATAAGCAATGCTTGCTCGATTCGTGACATACCACACATTTCAGCCCAAAGTGCGGCAAGTTAAGAAGATCCATGGTTGCGCACAAAGTTTTTCGGAAGAAGCAACACAGAATATCCGGGCCCCCCTCTCTTACTTTCCTTTGTTTTTTAGTTCACACATCACCTGTGCAGAAGGCAAACTACCCTCCCACCAACTCACATGGAACCTGACACTTCCCCAGAATTAGCTCCCCTTCTTGATTTTTGGCTTTTTTGGGGTCCCTTTGTTTTCCACCAACCAGGCAAACAAGATAATTTTTTGCTGGGGTCCTAATTCCAGCCTAGGACAGGGATCCCTTTAAAAGGAAAAAAAATGGTCTTCCAGGACCCCCCGCGGTCAAGGGCCATGCTAATTGATGGGAGAGCTCCATCGCTGAACCATTTCCTTCGATTTGGTTAAATTATTTTTGTTTTTATTTTCCCCTGTTGGTTTTAACGGGAATCGATTTCACCACTGGAATTATTTTTTATTTTTTGCAGGGGACTTAAGCAAATGAAGGTTTCGCGTGCAATGGGTCCCAGGTCACACCCAAGGGGCGTTTTCGGACGCGAGCCTCCAGCGGGCCGCAGGTGCCATGGATGTTCTGCCCAAAGGCAGCTTCCTCTTTGCATCCGAGGCAACCACGGAAGGCTCGCGCTCGCGAACGTGACAAGGGCCATAGGCGAAGCTGGGTGCTACTTGCCTGTTTGTTTCTCCATTTTTTTGGCGGGGGGGGGGGGGGTGAAACACTTGCTCACAGTTTAGCCCTACAGTCATGAGTCATGACTCAACTTGATTCCAAACTGCCCCAAAAACACGTTTCCAAGGTGAAAAGTACGATCGGTGCCCTGGATGGCGCCGTGCGCTATCATCCCATGAGCGGGCAAGGGGGCTTTCACGGGTACATCTCATCTACGAGCAGCAATGAGAGTGTGAGACTGTGGATGAACAAAATCCACGCCAGGCGCCGGCGCTTGGTTTATCCAAGTATTCATAGGGTCTCGGTCATTCAACTGGTGCAGGATATTGTCCATCCGCAGTATTGACCCCGAACTCATTTGATATGACTGCTTTTTACTGAGAGCTGAGGACAATCACGTGGAACGTGCACAACGGGTTGCGCTTTGGCCTCCTCCCCAAACGTCAAGCGGCAGACCAAACTTTGAAGCTGATTGGAATGACCTCTTGTTCAGCAGGGCTCCTTACAAGATACATTTTGCCCCTTTGACACATGGCTTTTTCCACCACCATAAAGGGAAGCCACCATTCACAAGTTGCAATGTTCAGGTAATGTAAGGATCCCTGTTCAGGGACGGCTCAGTCTGAGCACTGCCGTGCTGCTCCTCTCTTTTTGTCAAGTGCGAAGGGGCTGCCAAATGAATTTCCTTGAAGGCCAAACGAAACAAACCATGAAACGAACCCCGAGTCCTGAAAGTGACCCTTCGCGGTGGGGCCGGAATCGAGTGGTGGGTAGGGCGTGAGTCACCTCAGCTCCATTTGATGTCCAGCACTGCGATGGCAGTGCTGGACGGACCTTATGGCCCAACTTCCAATTTCAAGTGGCTGTGGGTCAAAACCAATGGTACCATTTTGGGTAGGTGCACCACCCATTTTAGTCTATTTTAGTGGGGATTGGGATGTTCACTGTGGGTACGGGATTTTGACCCATGGCCAAGTGAGCTTCTCGTGTTGAACAAGGGAGAACTGTCTGAGGTCCATTGTTTGGACCAGCGAAAGCCGCATGCTCGTCAAAGCACGTGTTTGGTGGTGTTTGTGGAAAGGGCCCAAAACCGACTCCTATCCGCTTGACCAAACCGCCAAGCCGCGAAAGACCGCCCAAACCACGGACGCCGACCAGTCGCTCGCTTCGGTTCGCGCCTCGGGAAAATGACGGTCGCTCCAGGGCACCTGGACCGGCTCTGCGACTTGGTCTGCGAGGCCGTGTTGGACGCCTGCCTGGCGCAGGACGACGAGTCCAAGGCTTGGTCGCACCGCGCGAGCCACGGAAGCGGAGCCAAGGTGGGGATCAACCAAACAGTGGGTTTGAACCCTCCAAACAGATGGCGTTGTTTTTTTGGCTTCCAAACCAAGCCCAAGAAAAGAGTGTAGTGTGAGCACAGCGCGAGTGGGTGTGGGTGAAAATTAAACCACCAGGAATTGGACCGCCTGTTTTAGTCATGGGTTCCATTTACCAGGGCAAGCCATTTTGGGTACCCATTTTTGACCCACAGCCAAGTTGGGGATGAACCAACAGAGGGCGTTCTTTTGGTTTCCAAACAAACCCCAAAAAAGAGTGTAATGGTGACCCCATATTTTGTTCAACCACCTTGGTTTATGAATACGAGGGTGGTTGCTTCTGGGTGAAATGTGGGGGAATCAGACCACTTTCGGGGCTCCCACCCGCTATCAAAAAGCTGGGGTTGAGTAATATGGCTGTAGGTCAAAACCAATGGTACCATCTTGGGGTGGCTGCAGCACCCATCGTAGTATCAAAGACACATCCAAACCCTCCCCCCAACACCATGACACCCCCCAATCCAAGGAATTTTAAATGATTGGGCGTTTCGTGTCCTTTCCATGTGATTGAGACCCATCCATTCATTCTGTGTGCTTTCGATTGCTGTGGTTGAGTACAACCCTCCCAAAGGGATCCCAGATCGGTTTCGCTTCCTTTGGGTTTCCCTTCAAAAAGCTAACCCAAGATGGAGTGATTCCAAAGAAGACACTCCCGAATGGGGTCTTCGGTGAAGTTCTGTGAACCATGGACACAGGGGTTATTTTCCAGTTCTCTGAAAACCTTCAAATTGAACCTTGAGGGCGTTTAGGAATCGAACGGTTCCGCACAAGTCACGGGGAGTGGGGGGAGTGGGTGGGGGAGTAGGGTTGGTTGCAAAGTGCCCTGAGCAAAAGGAGGCGGTGTAAAACAAGGGATTAGAGAGGTTTAGGTGGCCATTTTTAGTGGACTCTACCGGTTCAGTTTGGTTCTACTTAGTTTTGCTGAATTACCGGTTCCTGGTGATTTCTCTTTAATTTGCATACATGAGTTGAACAGGAGGTTCCCTGGTGGTTTCTCTCAAAATAACGTATCCCGAGCGGGTTCTCCGTGGATTCCTACTGGACCAACTTTGGAGCTTGGCGAGAATTTGTTGGAGCAATCCACACAAAGAGAAACCTGGATGGGCATGGGTCAGGGTTAAACCAGGGCCAGGGCTCCGCACATGTTTGGTCCTTTCCATTTACCAGGGCACGCCATTTTGGGGTTACCTTTTTGGGACCCACACCCAGGTGTGGACGGTGCTAACAGTGAAACAGGTACTTTGACTATGACTCAGTTGGCCTCATCTGAAGGAAACCCTGCTAAAAATGAGCAACATGTAAACGTCTGCACCATCCGCAACATCTCGAATAGATGACACGTAAACAACACCCCTTTTCGGCCAAACCTAGCAACCCATTGTTTCACCCCATGGAAAGGCCAGGCTCAGGATGGGGATGCATTACAGAAAGCAGCCCGAGCTCATCAAGCTATGCGACAGCAGAAGAAGGCTGAGGATAGCCTGAGATTTGCCATTAAGATTGAGAAGGAGACCACCTATGGCAGCGAGAAGGCACAAAAAGGCTGCAGGCTCGTCTTTGGAGCATGGCAAAGCCTGGCAGGCTGTTGCAAGCGATGCACAGAAGAATCCATTTTTGGGGAGCTGCCAGCAATTTCAGTCACTGTTTTGGCTCACACCTCAAATGGGGGGACTTTCCCTCAAGAGCAGTTGTGCCCACCCGGTTAAGCCTCCCCAAATGGGTCGCCGCTTGGTGACATCGGTGCCACCTTCGCCCTCATGTATGGGCGCGGTTCCTTTTCTTGCGTACCCCAATTTTGTTACGGGAAACCAAAAGCAAAATCCACCATTCTGTGGGGGACCCGAAAGACAGACGAGCCCGATTGCCTCATGCGACTTAAGATGTTAAGCATCAAAGGTGAGTCAGGGAACTCCCCAGAAGGTGATATTTCCTCGTTTGAACATTGGATCGCCTGGCATGCCTGCCGGTACACACAGGTGGCCTTGACTTGAAACGGTTTGCGGAAAGGGTCCTTTGAGGGTTGTTCTAAATATCGGCGCAGGCTGAATGGGTGTTTCTTTGGAGGGGGAACCGCAAGGAAACCCGCCCAACACTTAAAATTGAGGCACCCCAAATTCCTTTCATTTGTCCAAGCCGCCGGGAAGGGGGGGGGGTGTAAGACGTGATGGCATCAGTAGCTCGTGGTAGCTTGAGTCCGACCGAGCGCGTCGCAAGCGACGTTCCGAACTTCGGGGGTCCCCACTGCCACTGGCACGCAGAAAACGCATTCAAAGGCCTGTTTCCTTCCCCAGAATTAGTTCCTCGTTTTGTTTTTTTGCTTTGTTGGGGTTCCCTTTGTTTTCCACAAACCAGGCAAAATATATGTATATATTTGCCGGGGTCCGATTTTTCCAGCCAAGTTTCGTGGCTTCGGTTCAACCGGACCATGATCGGTCCATCAAGGGCCACTGTACCCACTGTACACCGCCTTTGATTTGGCGGGAACCTTTCACGGGCAAGTGGCGATGATCGACCGCTCAGCGCTGAGCAACTCCAAGCTTCAGCTTCAGGCACCCCAACCGGAAGGTATCTGCAGGTTTCTTGGCTCAGGTTTCCTAGGTGGTGCGCCCCAAGTGCCTGGTGCAACTGACTGCTTATAGAAAATCTCAGTTGCCCAAAGCCGACCTTTTGACCTTTTGGTTTTCCTGTTTTGGTCCATTTTTAGAGGAGCTGCCAAAAGGTTAACCTTTTATTTCTGGGTCCTTTGGGCAAGTGAGAAACAGAAAAGGGTCCCGGGCCGCCGTGAGAAAGTCTTGAAACGCATGGGCGGGGCCAGGAAAGGCCAAGAACGGTGATCGAAGGGACGTGTCCCTCTATTGTTCATGTTAGGTTCTTAAGTAATGTGGATGTGTGGACCCTGGATTTTCAAGAGCTCGTCCTACTAAACTGGCTGGGGGGGAGGGAGGGGAGCGGGGGGGCCCAAATAAGCCCTTACTAAGCCCCTAATAAGGCCTTATTTGGGGCTTATTGGGGCTCCCTCCCCCCCCCCCTCCCTCCCCCCCAGCCCCCAGGAGGGCTTGTTGGTGGACACCATTTTGGTGGGGATTGAGGTCTACCCAGCTAAGAGTTGGGGGTTCCAACCCTTTAGTCTCACAGCGCCATAGCACGGGATTTTTGGATTGTGACCAGCAGCCAGGGGGGTGGTTTTGGCCCCTCCAAAAGTGGGTTGACTCCAACCACTAAAAGGGGCACACCCCCCTGGTTCCACCAGAGAATTCAATCCTCCGGGGTCAGCATCCCTTCGGCCAACCTGTGGCATCGGGGAATCTTTCCGGGCCACATTTGGGTATGGGTCAACATGAAACCACCAGAAAAAAAATCAAACAAACAAAAAACACGCAGGTTTTGGTCCATGTTTCCATTTCCCAGGATTCCATTCTGGGCGGTGCGCGGTTTCGGTTGCGCAGGTCCAGCTGGAGGCTTGCGCCAAGTCTGGGCAGTCGGGCCCGGGCGCCGAGCTCGGGCGATTCTTGTCGTTTCTGGGTGGCTCAACTAGCCATCCGGTTCCTCAGCTTTTTAGATCTTTTTAGCTACACTGTTCTTGGCATGTTGTTTTTTGGTTTTTCAGTTTTTGGGTTCTGTTTATTTTTACTGGGGGGGGGGGTCGGCAAAAAACAAAAAGTTTTTCGCTACCATCTCCCAAGAGTAGAGATGTTAGTGTGTAGTGGTGGGCTTTCCGTAACCTCGCGCACTAGAGGTTCGTCACTTTGAGCGGGGGATCAGAAAACGGACAGTTCAGGGTTGTACGGGCACAAGCGCAGCTGGATGGGGTGCCGTGCGGCCTGCTTCATTCAGGAGTCTCCTGGGGTAGACTTAGGGTACATTACATTTTACCAGTGACTCAAAGTGAAGCAAACAA